TGAGCTTACAAAAAGGGAAGGGCTCACGGCAGTAGTGCTGTCCGCATGCCCTGGCCAGGTAGTGCCAACAGGAAAAGTTGGCCATGGATGTGTTCTAACAGCTCCCATGCTTAGTGATTAGTGTGTGTGCCTTGGCGAACATGTCTGTGGCTACACACCTTGGTTTATCCAACAGAAATTTCATGTCTACACTGCAGTTAATATGAGGATTTTATTCCTCTCCATCTCTTTTTTTTTTAACAAGTCTCATGTAATCCAAGTTGACTTCACATTTATTACATAGCTGAAGATGACCTTGAACTCCTGATTAACTTCTTTCAGTCATCGAAATCAAGTTTATGTTAAAGATTCTCTGACAAAATGCAAACACCAGATAGCACTCTCACACTGAAGTCAAACATCAGTGAATATGATAACTGAAGGGCCACGTGCTAAAACCACGGAAGGACCTTTGCCAGGAGTGGGGGGAGCATACAGGGAGGGGCACAAATAAGCGAGAAGCTCTGCCTTACAACCTTGCCAACTGCGACCAAAACTTTAGGCCAGTGTGGTAACCGTCACTCCTTTAATTGTCACATTGTATGTACACACACATACACACCCTGAATTTATAGCACACTCTATCAGACCTCGCTACCTGACTGTACCCAACTGCAAATACATGTGCAGTTGTGTGAAACTGTTCTAGCATTTGGATTTTCTTAGAAGACAGACTTAAATTTGCTGCTCAGTTTTTCACCCTCCAATATGACAGAGAAGAAAACTTCATTCCTCCCTTCCATCCTTGGATTAAACTGGGTGGTCAATGAGCCATTGTTTTATCAATCCGTCCTGGATAATGTTCATGCCATAATATTAAATTAGAAAAATAAGACATCTAATTTCCCCCACCTATAAAAGTTATATGGTCCTTTTGTTCATGTTCAATTTGCATCAGTTCATTGAATCACAAGTGTGCCACTTCCAAGAGAATCATCATGTGTCATTATTACAGAACTCAATCTAAAGGAAGGTGCTCAGCCTAAGAGGACACTCAAATCACTAGAGGCTTCCAAGCTGGGAAACTTTGTTATTTAGATGCCTCTACTCTTACATTAATACACATACACATCTTTTTATTTAAGTATATGGCTCACACTGTCTTTGGGGATAAAAGTTCTCTGTGCTGCCTGGCATGGTGGCACATGCCTTTAATCCCAGCACTCAGGAGGCAGAGGCAGACGAATCTCTAAATTCAAGGCCAGCCTGGTCTACATAGTGAGTTCCAAGCCAGCAGGGAGACACTTTCTTGGACACACACACACACACAGTGTTCAGTGCTCAATATTTGCTTTTGGCAAGTGAGATTGTCATTGGTTCTGGACTTCCCTACTTAATAAATGGAATCCTTCCAGGGACAGGTCACTCTGTCTCTGAGCAAATAAGGACAGACAATGAGGCACTGTAAAGGGTGACGGCTCTGCAGACTGCTCCCAAGAGACTCAGGGACTCTAGGCCTATGGGCTGGCTCCTGTCACTCAGGACTGTGACCTGCTAACTCTCTTGTCTTTCCAATGAGCATTAAAGTTCCTCTGGCCTCCATCTCCATCTCCATCTACTTCTGTCCTCAATCTTTCTGTTCCCTCAATTCTTGATGTTGGAGTAGCTTCTCGTGTCTTTCTGCCAGCCAACAGTCCCCTCAGGGCTCAGATACTCAACCCTGCTCCAGACAATTGGTGGAGGTTTTGAAGGATATATGGTCCTCAGATGGCAGCTCTTAACAAGGTTGGGGTAGGCAGTGTCACTTAAGGGAGGATGAGGAATCAATAGTGACCTATGCTGAAAAGAGGCTTCAAGAACTGTATCCATGGGCCAGCGACATGGTTCAACAGGTAAAGACGCTTGCCACCAAGTCTGATGATCTGAGTTCAATCCCTGGGAACCACATCATGGAAGGAGCTAACTCCCGAAAGTCGTCCTCTGACCTCCACGTGTGCCATATCATGTGCATATTCGTGTGTGAGTGCACAAGTGCACACACACACACACACACAAAATGTAATTTTTTTAAATATTTTATCTTTTGTTGTTTTATGTGTATGCATGTATTGCCTGCCTGTAGGTAAGTGCACCCGTGTCATGCAATGCCCGCAGAGGACAGAAGAGGCTGCCGGAGCCCCTGGAACTGGAGTTACAGTTAACTGCCATGTGGGTGCTGGGATTCGAACCCGGGTCTTCTGCAAAAACAGCCAGCACTCTTAAATGCTGAGCCATCTCTCCAGCCCCATTTTTTTAATTTTTAAAGAGTCCATTCTAACTAATTCCCCTGGAATTTTAGACCCCAACTTCCCTGAAGCCTCATACATCATGGCTGCCCTGGTACAATCTTCATTCATTAGTAACCCATATTTTGACTATTTTGTTTTGTAATATAACACTAAAAAATAGCCATAAGCAACTTAAGTTTGTGGCATGGGAAGTTTGGTCAGTGTTGTGTGATGCATCTTTTCCCAAAGGCTGCTTCATTGCTCCATGGTCCTCAGAGGTCTACCCAAATGATTCGGGAGGCCTTTAAGAATGGGAAACCCATCATCACTCTGGTTCTTATGATGGCATGCCTGCTAACAGATCCCTTCTGCAACATCCCCACCAAGTGGCTATCCAGCCTCTGTTCCCATGTCTCCAGGGAGAAGGAACTTGATAATCCAGGCAACAGTCTAATGGTAGACAACTTTACTGAGTGCACCTCTTACTGGTTTTAACTTGTCCTTTTAACATCCACCCAACTACCTTCAATTATTCTCCAAACAGCAACTTAACTCCAGAGGCAGAGGAGCACAATAGAGCTCACACTCATCAGCAAGGATCCCTTGGATTAAAATACATATGTGGGGCAAGAGAGATGGCTCAGGGATTAAGAGCATTGGCTGCTCTTGCAGAGGACCCAGGTTTGGTTCCCAGCACCACAAGGAGGCTCACAAACATCCAGAACTCCAGTTCCAGAGACTCTGATGCCCTATTCTGACCTCTACATGCACTGCACAACACAGGTACACTTACATACATGCAGGCAATACTCATACACATAAAATATACACCCATAAAAATTATATACACACACACACACACACAGGGGTTGGGGATTTAGCTTAGTGGTAGAGTTAATAAGTGCAAGGCCCTGGGTTCAGTCCTCAGCTCCAAAACAAAAGTATATACATACATACATGTGTGTGATGACACCCCTCCTGAAGCAGAGGCTTGGTTTGCTCCGAGAATGTCAAGATGCTAGATAATTGGTGCATGGTGCGCCTGCAAGTTTTGGAGGGGAAACAATTTTTCTTAAAACTTAAAAAAAAAATTGTGTGTGTGTGTGTGTGTGTGTGTGTGTGTGTGTGTGTGTGTTAAAGACAGCATAGCCTCCCTGAGGATGAGAAGAGAAAACAGAACGTAGGACCCCCTAGCACACAGTAATGCCCTTCAAACTGTTAAAAATGTCTGCCACACTGTTCCAGTCTCAAGCAGACATTCACAACTGAGGACATGATTTCAACCCTTCCAGAATTCACCTGCATTTATCCATGTGGTTTCTTGCATTCCACTTTCCATTTCTGTGTCCACATCCTCCATCTGAATATCTATACCAACTGGTAATATGTGAGAGTAGGCCAAAGTAATCCTGTGGGACACAGGTGGCAGAGCCCAGGAGACCTGCCCAGAGAGGCCTCCCCGTGAAGCCAGTGCCACCTAAAGCTGGGAGATCACCCAGTGGGAGGGGCCACAGGCCTCCTACAGCCAATTAGGCAACCAGCACCAGCCAGCACGTTAGAGGGACATTAGCATCCCTTTCTGCTGGCCTACCATAGAACCTACCTACAATGAGACTCCAGCTCCTTCCTCCTGAGGGCTAGCTGGAGCCAGCAGCCTGGATAATGCCAGAGATAGCTCTTCTAAGCTACCAGCTCCCAAACCTTGTAGCCTGCTGCCAAAAACGGGAGGCCAAAGGTGTTCACCTCCTTTGTTTCCCCAATTCCTCTCTAACCCAAGAAATAATCTCTTCCTTTACTATCAATTATTTTTCTCCTATCTGTGGCAAAGTACTGGATAAAAACCAACTTAAGGATTTATCATGGCTTATAATTTGAAAGTAGAGGAAGGCCCAGTGGCAGACATGAGGCAGCTGGTCATGTGTCCATGATCAGGAAGTGGAAATGGCTGGGACTCAGCTGGCTTCCCTTTTCCCTTTTCATTCAGTACAGACAAGACTTCTCTTCTCGTTAACCCTCTCTAGAGGGGCTAGAGGGATGGTTCAGCAGTTAAGAGCCCTTGCTGAACTGAACCCAGGTTCAGTTCCCAGTACCCACTGGCAGCTCACAACTGTCTGTAACTCCAGTTCCAGAGGATCCAATGCCTTTTTCTAGCCACTGCAGGCACTGTAGGCACATGATACACATATATAACATGCAGGCAAAACACTCATACACATAAATATTTTTAATTCTAAAGAAAGAAATCTCTGGAAACATCCAGAATATATTTCCTAGGTTATTCCAAATCTGGTTCACTGACCACAGAGATTACACTTGCCCTATAAAACTCCCTGAACATAGTGACAGGGCTAAGACTCATCCCTGCCCATGTTTCCAAGAACAGGATGATGTCCTGGGGTGGATCATGGCCTTGTTCATCAGGGAAGGCTGCTGGGTTTTTGTTTGTTGTGTTGTTTGTCTGGTTTAGGTGGCAGGGGTTGGGGGTAGTGCTGGGGATGGAACACAGGGCCTTACACATGCTAGGCGAGTGCTCTACCAGGAGCTACATTCCCAGTTCCCACTCTCTCTTCTTTAGCTTTGAATTTTATCAAGTCAGCAATGGCCCCCGATGGTTCAAACATCTAGGAACCCTATTTTTGACATCAACATCCCCTGCCTGATGTCATAAGCAAACTTGATCAGTGTCCTTAACTGAGTAATTGATAAAAACTCAAATTAGCCAAAGAAGAGAAATCATGGCCTCTGTAGTAAAGTCCTCACTGTCCAGTTTATTTAACAAAGCACCATTTTAAAGAACAATTCAAAATCTTTCAGAATCTAATCACAACACCTCTATGAATCTGAGATTGCAGGACCAAGCATGAGATAATTCTTACAAAGCTAAAGGGAAGAAAAATAGCAAGTTATAAATGACCCCACAGAGCTTGGTGCCTTCACAAACCCACCAGGAATACATACAGAAAATTATTAAACATCTCCAAGGCCCAAACAACTCTGCATCCACTCACTACATCTTCATGGCAAGAACAATGGGTCCCTCTCTAAGTGTGTCCAGAAAAGTTACAGGACTGGCCAGAGGAAAAAGTGATAGCAAGAGGTAAACACCAGCACCGCCCAGCCATGCAGAATTCACTCTTCATGAGGAGACTGGAGGTCTGGGAAGGGAGAGATGGCAGCCAACAACACGATTTAATTTCCACACTGCCCACACCCTCCTCACAAATACACATGCTTGTTCTCAGCACCACATTGCTTCATTTTTCCAGAGAACTTCACACACACTAAAATTTGCTTTCGTATCTGTCTCTGCCTTCCATAGTAGATTCCAGAGTCCAGGAATGAGCACTCCCTCCATGACGCAGCAGCTTCCTGCAGAGCAGACAGTACATCCGTGTGATGAGCTGCATGACTGAATGCACATGTCCCCAGATGGTCCTCTTTATGTAGACAGTATGACGTGGTCATACTTTTACCAGTTTAATAAAGCCATCTTTTAAAATTAAATACCCATTAGGACAGCTTGGTATTTAGGTCACAGGTATATAAGTGGAGTGCGATTCTTTTCTCTGCTAAGTACAGATTAGTCAAGCCACCACTCAATGTTCATTCTTCAGACATATGAAGCTTTCTACTCACACTCAAAGGCGTTCCTTAACTTACCTTCTATCTAAATCAGTCAAGTCTCTTCTCCTAACTGAGAAATATTAAATAAATGGCCACTCTCATAAAATAGTGACTAGCAGACACAATCTGAAACTTTCATGAATAAGCTCTGCGTTAGTGTCTAAAATACAAATTCCATTCATAGACCAAAGGCTGTGTGCTGTTGAGTTTTACAAATTGGCCCCCAGTCTCATGTTTAGTGCGTCACTGTCCACGCAACAGGGACACTCAGGAAACCAAGACTTAGAGACAGCAAGTCACTGCTAAGGCTTCCTGATGAGAACAAGAACCTGTCAGGTCAGCAGACCATAGCTCAAAACCATTTACTATTAACCCCTTACTGATTTCATCACTGTGTCAAGGATCTTTTCTGAACGTTTCATCATATCTAAGATGTTATCCATGGTGACACACAGCAGTGTCAAGATGGACAATACTGCAATTAAAGTCAAGCAGAGGGTATGTCACAATTTCAGCAGTGTTAAAATGTGTGCGTGTTTGCACACATCCATTTATACATGTTTTCTCACACACATATACGCATATTCAATAAAACAGAGCAAGCCACCAAACTTGAGGCAAAATATTATGTACTGGCTCCCTGAATCCTTTAGAAAATTAATTTAGCTATAAGCTACAGAAAAAGATAAATTCCAAGTATGAATAAAGTTGTAAGAAACTGCAGACCTTGCTAACAAATCTCCTCTTAAAATCTTTTCTCCTTGTTCATCTGTGGCATTAAAGCATATTATTTGTAGAGATGACAAGATTTTGACACATAACGTGACTGTCACCCATCTGTATCTTCAGGCATCCCAGTGCAGGAGAAGGCAGTAAGCACCCTATTTCATTGGGAGCAGAGTTTTACTTGCAAGGTAGAGGCAGGAGCATTCGGAGTTCAAGGTCGTCTTTGGCTGTACAGCACATTCAAGATCAACCCAGGCTACATGAAACTGCCTTTAAAAAACAAAATCCAGCAGATTTTAAACCTAAATGTTTTTGTTTTTCTCAAAAGTTAGGGACAGTAATAGTAATTTCTCATTTTATACATATCCCTGTTCCTAAAGGCAAGACTGAATCTCCAGTGGACCAAGGACCACAGTAGAGAAGAGCACACTCTGTAAATCTATTTGAATGACCCACCAGAGGTGTCCCTTTTCCAGGGTCTCTTTTCCCTTCCTCTGAAAGTGCTCATGTCATAAGCCCACACAGTGTCTATCCCCTCTCCAATTATGTGGTCTGGAGTCCAGTGTGGGAAAGGGAACCGGCAAGCAATGACTCGCGCATCATCCTCAAGTTCAAGTTCAAGTTTCTTCTCCAACTGCAGCATCTGTGGAGAACAACAGCCATGTGGTTCAGTGAGCGCTGAGACTGAGGAGATGATTCAAAATGCCTTTCTGCATTTAAGAGTCCCTGAAAAACTTACAAAATATATCACTTCAGGGCACAAATACATTATCAAGCAATCTATTAACATAAAAAAGACATTAACAGCAGCTACAAGAACATTTTCTAGTATCAATTATTTTAAAAGCTATTTTTAGCAGATGTATACCATAAATTCCTAGTTTTCTGACAAAAATCACATTGCAGTAATTAAAATACTAATTATTTTAAATTATTTACCTAGTTAAATATTTCAACATACCCTGTGTCTCATATATTTAAAGACTTATTTTTCCACATTTTTAACATCTCTGAATTGGGATATATCACACAACTGACATATAATTGGAAGTATTTTTTCTCAACAATTACAGTACATTTTAGCATCAATGTTTAGAGTCAGTGAAATATTGTTTCATTAGACCATAAGAAAAATACATACTCTACCAATTAGAAATATTATGAAATACTCCATAATTTCAAAATGTGTTTTAATATACTGATAATAAATTTCTTTATCAGGGGGCTGTTTGAATCTAGAAACTGAACCCTGGACCTCACACCTGCTAAGTGCCCCTCCACCACTGTAGCCCCACTAATGAGCATCTGAACAATATAGCTGATAACAAGTTTGTGTAATCTTTTTTTAAAATATTTTATTTATTATTTTTATGTGTATGTTATGTATTGCCTGCATGTAGGTAAGTGACCCGTGTCATGCAATGCCCACGGAGGACAGAAGAGGCTGTTGGAGCCCCTGGAATTGGAGTTATGGACAGTTGTTAACTGCCATATGGGTGCTGGGATTCGAACCCGAGTCTTCTGCAATAACAGCCAGTGTTCCTAATCACTGAGCCATCTCTCCAGCCTAAGTTCGTGTAATCTTATTACAATCTACCAATGAGGTCTCTTTATTATTTACTAGAAGTATACTGACATTTTAATTATATTAACAAATTAACAATAATTTAAAATATTGCAGTTTGCAAAAAATATATTAACATCCTTATATCTAAAAATACTTTTGTTTCACTTTCTTCTTTTAACTGATTTTCAGATGATTTCAAGCCTACAGGAAGGTTGAAACAACAGGACAAAGAACTCGTGTGCACCCTCGCCTAGATGCACAAATGCTAACACTTTGTCACATCTGCCTGCTGTATTTGCTCTCTTCCTCATGAATACTTTTTCTAAACCATTTAAGAGGTTCACACAACTACACACTCCTTTACCTCCTTCATACTCTGTGTATCCCCTGAGAAGGTTTCCTCCATGCTCCAACATAGTAACTCAATCCAGGACACAACCCTCTGTTCCAACAATGACCCTAGTAACAGTTCAGCAGTGTCCTGCATCACCCCGCAAGCTGCCATTCACAATCACCTTTTGTGCATCACCCCGCACGCTGCCGCTCACAATCACCTTCTGTGTTCAGCTGCAGTTTCTTTGGTCTCCTTTGTTTCATCGCTATTGTTTTTTGCAGTACTGGGGATTGAACCCAAGGTCTTGTGCATGCTAGACCAGTACTCTACCCCTGAGCAATAGCCATATCCATATTGGTCTCCAGTCTCCGGTCTGGAGCAGTTCTATCTTTCTTTGTCTCTCATGACAATGAACCAAATGGCCTTCACCTCCGGTTCCTCTGATCCTTGTTCCTGATTGTTCAGTCAAAGGCATGTGGTCTCTGGCAACGCCCTTGGCTGTGGGCCTGTAAGCTGACCAAAGCCCCAGAAGCCTAGGAGGCCCTTCTGCTCTTGACAGTGACATTAACCATTCGGCCAGGGTAAAATCTGGAGTCTCCATAGTCCACTATTTTTCCCTTTACATGGAGTAACTGTCTGTAGGAAGACACTTAGAGATGACATAGCACCCTGACTTAAAGGTAGCATTCACTGATAATTCTGACTGGAATCAACTTTTACTACAAGGGCTGCCAAGTAGCAATTTGCTAATTCCATCCTTTCTTCTAGATAGACAGTTTGTGTTCTACTGTAAGGAAGAGCTTTTCTTTCCCCCTTCTCTGTCTAGCTACCTGCCTGCCACATCTGTCTAGCAAAGAGGAATGTCCACATTCTAATTCCATTCAGTGCCTCTTAATCCATTGCTGGTCTTGCTTTTCTAATGCCCAAACTCCTAATTCACCCATGGGGAACCTCCTGCATCTGACTTCCCCATCCTCTGAACATGCTCCCATTAAATATTTTGAGTATTTTCCTTATGTTTTGGCTCAACAAACTGATTTGGGCACCTGTACTTTCCTTCCTACAGCCCTGGGTCAGTGATTCTCAAGGATTCCGGGTTCCTCATATTGAAAAATAGCACTTAGAAGCCAATATCTAAGCAAAAACCACTCCCTATAAAAGTAACCAACTAAAGCAAGACAAATCAATGGTGCTTTGGGGAAAGTTTTATTCTTGACCTACATCTTATAAAAATGGCTTGAAAAACTCCTCCACAAGACTGGCCAGAGTGAAGCAAAATTCTAATTTGTCATTAGAATCGATAACAAAGAGAGAATTCCACTAGAGATAAAAGATTTCTATTCTTCAACAGCCAGCAAAGGATTTTTTTTCAAGTTTTATTCCTTGAGGGGAAAAATTAAATAAGCAAAGATTGAGACAATATATATGCATTTTCCCCCAAATATCAGGTTTCTTATGCTAATTTTGTTCATAAAAAGGATAATTGTAAACTTATTCACATTACTATCATTCTTTTCTCTTTTATAATTCCTTTTATTTCCAAATGATTGTCATATGCTAAGTCAAGATAAACCTAAAAATGAAAGGAGCTATTTCAATCATAAGAAATTAACTGACTAAATTACACATAAATATGCAATGAATCTGGCTTCTGATATCATACACAAAGAGAAGCCATGATGTGTCATGCCTGTGTAATGGAATGCAAAGTTATTCAAACAACTATGGGTTTCAAAGTGACACAAACTCGACATTTTCTACTTACATCTTCAAATCTTTAGGTGAATCAGCTAACGGCATGAGGCAGCCAACACACCATGAGCAGTGCGGACCCAGGACCTGGTCTCCTCCCTGAACACTTCCTCTACTTAGCTCCTAGGTAGCTTTCCTCACCTCACCACCAGGCTCCTCCTTTAACACACATGCACGCACACACACACACACACACACACACACACACACACGCAGCTGGCTGTTCCTTGTTTCCCATACAAAGCTCAGGCCTTGGGCAGCTCCTGAGACCTGCTTGTCCCCAGGTGATCTCAACCCTCCTAGACTTCCTCATCCCTGTGCCCTGACTCTTCCTAACCCATTACAGTCAGTGTGACTTCAGCCACCCTTGCTGAACCTCTACAGACTCTGCCTGCACCAATCCCAGCTCAGCTCCTGGCAATTCCAACACCTAGGAAGTCAGAAGACAAGATGGGGCTGCCTTGGCTCCTCTCAGCAACGCTGGATTTGCCCACTACTCCTGTTGATTCTATCTTATAATACATCCAGAATTTGACCAGCTCTCACCAGCGAACCCACCCTCATCATCTAGTCTGAACCTCAATCATCACCTGAAACTACTATTGATGTGGGTCTGGTCTCGCACAGCGCTGCAAGGTCTTTTTCAGCCCTCACCTGCCCCTGTGCTGATCTGCTCACACCTGGACAGTTCCTTCCTTAGAAGAATCAGTACTCTTCATGTCCCTGCCCTGTTTCCATCTGTCCTGGTTTGAATGAAAATTTCTCCCATAGGCTCCAAGTATTTGGACATTTTGTCCCCAGTTGGTAGTGCTGTTTTGAGAGGTCTTAGAAGATGTGTCCATGCTGAAGGGAGCACATCACTGGGGGCAGGCTTAGAGTTCTTAAGCCTTGCTAGATATCCAGTCACTCTCTGCTTCCTGTGCCTGCTTGAAGATGTGAAGAGTTTAGCTTCTCTTACTCCAGCCACCTCTGTCTGTAGCCATGCCTCCCCACCATGATGGACTCTTGCCCTTTGGAACCATAAGCTAAATAAACTCTGTAAACTCTTCCTTTTTTTTTTTTTTTTTTTTTTTATGACCAGGTCCATCATGTTTTTAAAAGTTGCACTTTTTTGAGACAGAGTCTCCCTGTAGCCCCAGCTGTCCTGGAACTCAGAGATCTGCCTGCCTCTGCCTCCCAAGTGCTGGGATTAAAGGTGTGTGCCACCATGCTCAGCTAAACTCTTCCTTTTATAAGTTCCATTGGTCATGGTGTTTCTATCACAGCAACAGAAAAGTAACCAATATACCATCTGACTCATCTCTCATACACATTGCCCTCCCCACATGCACGTACTTACTGCTCTCCAACACAAAAGGCGTACACAGCCTTTAAGCACTTTGCAACCACAGAGCCTCAGCCTGGACCACTACTCCATGTACAGCCTCCTCTGTCACTTCCAACATCTCATTTCAGATACTTGCCATGTCCTTGCCCTGTCCTTGCCCTGTCCCAATCTTGATTTCAGTAACTCCACAGAATCTATTCTCCCCTACTGGACATTTCTACACAGGTGTCTCATTTAACCTGTACTAGCATAGAGGTACCTCAGGCAACTGCATTCTGTCATTCATTTATGTAATGCAAGTGATAAAAAGAGGGCCCTGTGTGTACAACCCGCAGACACGCACGCGCACATGCATAGTGTACAACTTGCCTCAGCTCTGAGATCAAGATGCTACAAAGGTGGAAGGCAGAGCACCGGAATCGCTTCACTGAGCCGTCAAGGACAGCTTCACAGAGGAAAGAACAGCTGGCCCCAGAGCACTAACTAGGCCCAGCACAGGGTGGCTCTAGGCTCTGGAGAGAAGCACAACCAAGAGGGTGTGCTGACAGGACAAAGGACTGTGCAGAAAGCTAAGGGAAAATGGCCAAGGCAAGGTCAGAAGTGAGCAGAGGCTACCTCATGCCAACCTCAGAGCCACATGGAGGATTTGAGCCTTTTCCCTAGTAAGAAGTCACAGAGTTTGTCGGGTTTTAGGGTTTTGTTTTGTTTGAAAGGTCTCATGTAGACCAGGCTGGCCTCAAACTCACTATGTAGCCAAGGATGGCCTTGAACTTCTGATCCTGCAGCTTCCACCTCCCAAATACAGAGACTATGCATGCACCAACACATCTGCTTTATGCAGTGCTGGGGATTGAAACCAGGGTTTCATGCATGCTAGGCAAGCACGCTACCACCTGAACTACATCCCCAGCCCCATAGAGGGTTTTAAACAAGGGCCTGATTGATCTGTTCCACATTTTGAAAAGGCTCTTGGTGTGTAAGTTCATGCTAAACATGAGTACTTGGAATCCTTGTAGTGCATTTATCAGGTCCAAATGGGATCCCTCATCCTACTGAGATACCTACTTTGTATTGAAGTGTCAGCTCTGATTTCCAGCTGTTAGGAATAGTCAGTCAGCATCTGAAGCAGGCTGAGGAGTTACAATGCCAGCTGTTATATTTTGCCCTTCCCCAAGGCTTCTCCTGGCTCTCCAGGTACCTGCCAATGCCTCAGCTACCATGGGATACTTTCCATGGCATTCTGACTCTGGTGGGCTGTCTATCCATGACTGAAATACTGACCAGTGCTCAGAGAGCAGGATACAGTTTAACAACCACCTGACATGGACAGGTAAACTACTTTCCCAGGGTCATACAAACTATCAAAGGCAACTTCCCAGCAGCACATTCCCCTGCCCCTCATCACTTCCACCTGGGCAAAGCTTGATGCAGGTTCAAAGTGGGGGCCTCCACACATCAAGTTCAGCCTTCCAGACCAACAGAAGCTACGGAGGCTCTCTATACCCCTGGTCAACCCAGTGTGGAAAACACAGGCTGGCTCAGTCTCTCTTCTTATGCGGAATAAGTGCTTTGTGCATTCCAGCTGCTCCTCTTTTTCCTGAGAATAGTGAAATGCTGTCAGTTCTTTGGCTGAGACTTGTCTTGTATGGAAGCAAGAATTGCAAATGTGTTTTTCAGAATAACAAGACTCATATTGCCCCTGAGGAAAGAGCCCCAGACACCTTGCAGCTCAGACCCTGGCAGCAACCACCGGAGCAGCCGCCACCCTGGCAGTCAAAGGCCACTGCTGCCCCCCACTGGGACAAGGCAGCAGGCTGCACAGTCCTCATCCCAATTTAACATCTGAGCTCCAGACAGCCCAGAATTCCACGTAAATAGAACTTTCTGCTTTTATAAGCTAAGGCGGTCTCCAATATACTATTACATTTTAGAAGGAAAGCCCAAATATCACAATACATAGTAAATCATTAGAATTCCTATCTACTCTATGATCCCAAATTAGTTATTTGGGGGTGGGGGAGTTGAGACGGGGCCTCACTCTGTAGCCTAAGCTGGCCTCAAATGTGCAGTGATCCTCCTGCTTTGGCCTCTTGAGTGTTGGGATTACAGGTGTGAGCTACCAGGCCTGGCCAAACAAGTTTTTAAATGACCAGAAATGACGTCCTCCTGTGTGTCATCACCTTTAGAACACAGGCGTTGATACTCAAGTCTGCCCTCAATCTCAGGCCTCATAACAAACAAGGAGAATATAGACACTTTGTAATAAAATGATTTCTGGTTTGTAAAAAGTAAACAATGTGGCATTACACTGAAAGTCCTAATAGCTGGAATGCAGTTCTCAAGCACTTAAATGTCTTATGTAAAAACTAAGACATAGCTAGACAGAGAGCACACGCCTATAATCTCAGGACCTGGGACTCAGAGGCAGAAGTTTAAAGCCAGCCTGGGGTACACAGAAATTTCCAGGCCAACCAGAGCTACATAGTGAGACTCTATCTCAAAAAGCAACAACAACAAACCATAAAAAAGAAAACAAAATTTAACTTCCTTTTTAAAATTAAAAACCGTATCAGTTATATACTGCCATCTCAGTAAACATCCAATTCTGCCAAGATTATTAGGCAACAATTACGGACTTTGGAAAAGTAAAACGGGACTTGTCTCTCTGGTCTCTAAGCCAGAGTTACAGCAGTAGCGCCCGACCCTGAGCGCCTTCCGAAGGCCCCAGGGACCATTTCAGCACAGCAGCAGCACTTTCGCATCTAAAAGCACATAATCAAAGTTCAATACTCAGTTCTCTGGCAAATCAGTGAATTGAGAGAAACTGAAACTAGTCAATGCTCATCCACCCTGAAAATTATCTTGCAAAACTGGAGGAATGATCAATTCAAAGGGACTACCCCATTAACTTTCCCAAGTGATTTCCGCTGGATGTGAGTGAGCAGCCGTGAAAATCACAATCTGCATTTGACACTGGCACCTCAGAAGGCAGTTTTCAAACTGGGTTAAGGCTTTGGTAGATCATTGAGATTTTCATCTGAAACTAAAGTTTAAAAATATGACTGAATCTTTTATGAATAAACTTTTAAGGCTCTGAAGTATTTTATTAAACCAGTGAAGTGAAATCCAATGTCCCCTCAAAGTCACTGAGAAGCCATCACTGTGCTGGGGCTGGCAGGCCTGTGACATCACAGACCCCAATCAGAGAATAGAGGGTGCATACTTACCATCTGAGGCACGCCGAAAATAACAACATTTGAGTACTGTGAAAAGGTGACCTGAAGGAGATGGGAAACAAATGAGTAGATTAATTCTGAAAAGTCAAGCATTACATAGACCTTGTTTCACAGGACGGGCGATTTCCCACATTGACAGGTGGTGGGCTTTCACAAACTCCTAAAAGAAACAGCACTCCTTAAGATGGCACACAGAAAAGAACACCATGGCTGTGCTTTTGTGCCTGCTAGTGGGTCCATCAGCCTTCCAGATACTTGCCCTAACTCCCTTCTACTCCTCACAAAGGCTCCATCATGGCAGGCTCCAGGGCAGACACTCTCAGAGACCAGCTGCTGGTCAGACGAGCTCAGCCAGAACACTTCAAAGGCACCTGTGTTATCCTGAAGCACTCTTAGAATTCTAATTCTCTCTCCCCTCCCTAAAATAGTACAATAAAATGGTTTTTCAGCAGCTGAAAAACTAGGGTAAAAGTGCTTTGCCAGTCAAAATTCTTATTGCCCAATAAAAGTCATTCTGACTCTATGAAAATCGTTCAGTCATCTATGGCCTGAAAACAATGTAAGCGAAACTCAAGTGGTTATTTCTAAGCTACTCTAACAATGTTACAGTGGGAAATTCTTAAGAAAAAGTATTCCATAGAGCTTTCCTAAAGCAAAGCTACAGGGCTTGTTGTTTTAGAGTGCAGATAAATTTAGAAAAG